ATTTTAAAATTATTTAAAATAAATTTTTGTTTACCATCCAATCAATCTAAATATTGTAAATATTGATATGTGTTCATAAGCTTCCAAAAATGTATTAGTTACGCTTGTATGTAATTTAGAATGAGACAATTTAGTTTCTATTTTTTTTCTTTCTAAGCATAAAAAATCTTAAGTTATACATACTCTTACTAGATATAATTATATTTTAAAAAAAACAACCGGCATAAATGCAAATAAGACGATTAATCAAAAATTTAATATATTGAGGATAAAAAAGATTATAGTTGAATTTAGAAAAATAGATTGAATCTAATATATCCAAAAGATAACTTAATCAACCGTAAAAACAATAAAACTGATGAAATAACATATCTAAAATTATATATATAATTAAATTAATATAACATTATTAATACAAATTATACCTACAATATAACAAATTGATAACCAAACCGACTATAGATCCAAAAAATAATGAAATTGACAATAATATATCCAAAGTCATATGTATAATTATAATAATATAATATTTATTAATATAAATTATACATATAAATTGATTCAAAACTAAAATTAAATATAAATAAATTATTATAAAATTTTACTTTTATGAATATTCATACCCGTGCATGAGCACGGGAAAATCACCTAGTATATATTATTTTCTATGCTACGATATATATATATATATTAGGATAACTTAGAAAATTCTATTTAAACAAGGTTGTTGCACCCTTTCATTAGACTTGACTACTTTTATGGTCTTATATATTTCTAACAATAAAAGGTAAAGTGATATACATATAAAAATTTGTGGTAGTCAATCCTATATTTATTAAATATCGGTAAACAAAAACATTATACCATACAATTTACTTTATATTTCTATAACAATTCATTATTAAATACTCTTACTTATTATACAAAATATATTTGTTTAAAAAAAATTACACCAAAACTATATTTTCATCTGGTCGGGTCTTTTGGGATCTATATTTTCCGGATCCTAAATATTTGGACATAACTAGGTATTTAAAATTTATGGTTTGGATTTGTCTTGATTTCTTTGGGGTCCGGTCCATAATTCAAATACCTATAAAGGATCTATAATTTTTGGGTACGTAACAGGTCTGAATTGGTTTGGGATGTTTTTGGACTAAAAAAAACTTGAAGATCCCGAAAACCCAAAAATACTGAAAATACTAACAAATACTTAAAAATATTTAAATTTCAAAAAAAAAACAAGAGTTTACCACAAATCAGACCCGGGAAACCGAAAATACCTAAAAACATTTCGTGATACTAATATGAAATTTTACCCAAAACTCAAAACTATAATCGAAAACCTGGATTCGAAACTTAAAAAAAAAAGTATTCATGATACTGAAAACACATTCAAAATATCGAATACATATCTGAAATGCCCAAATATACCTAATATACACAAAAGATTTAGGTACTTTGGATACATGATTGGATCTCGAGTATGACCCATAACCGAACAAAGACTGCGGGTCGAGGAAAAAATCAAATATGTACTTTTCCCTAGACCTGGACCCAAACTACATCTATATTTCCGGGTCGATTTTGGTTTAGTTTTCTGATCCGGTAAAATATTCAAGCATAAAAATATATATAAGAGTGTACATACAAAATTTTATATAAAATAATTCATAAGTTATATAATTTTAAACAAGTGCCTTTCTTCGATATAATGATTTTGTAACATAATAATGTATATCAGTTCCAAAATACTAACTCAGAAACTTTGTTTTTAATCTAAAGAAAAACCCGCGCTTTCGAAGCGCGGGTCAAAATCTAGTCTTATATATTAAAACAGAAGTCATACTTCTTGTGTGATTTTTTTAAAAATGGACTATTACTAGAAAGTCATGTTACATTATTTCTCTAATAATCTTATCATTATTATATCTTATGAAAAATCATAAGATATAATAATATGTGATATGTTTGAAAAACATTTATTATACATATCGTAAATATGTGATTACTATAATATATACCAATTTACAAGTGAAAACAAAATGTTTATATAACTAACTATAAACGAAAACAAATACCCGCGCAATTGCGCGGGTCAAAATCTAGTCTTATATATTAAAACAGAAGTGATGACTTGACTTCATGTGTGATTCTTTTAAAAATGGACTATTACTAGAAAGTTATGTTACATTAAATCTCTAATAGTCTCATCATTATTATATCTTATGAAAAATCATATCTATACACGTTCCAACTTAGTCACGCAAAATATGTCAATAGATATAAGTTTATGAATCTTCTATTAAGAAAATATGTCAATAATAGTTAAATGCATCCACAATATATTAACAAAAATCACAGATTCGTAATATGAAATATTTATATATCCTAACAAATTTTACACGCTATATATACTAGAGAAATTTATTTCAATGTAAATTTTTAAAATTATATTGTTTAAAAAAAAATGTTAAAAAAAATTCTTTTTACTAAATTTCTTTACAATATTAATTTATGAAGGTATAAGTTTAGTTTTTAGCAAAAAATTCTTCGAAGTTTATATTATCTTTACAAACTAAAGTATACTAATATTTAATCAAGCTCTATTTATATTACTTTGTCTAAAAATGAAATAATAATCTAACAAACAATAAAATATAGAAGAAGAAACAAACACATGTTTGAAAAACATGTATAATATTGAAAATTTGAGACAATCTATTTGATAAAACACGTATTATATAATATTTTATGTTTGAAAAACATTTATTATAGTGATTACTATAATATATATCAATTTACAAGTGAAAACAAAATGTTTATATAATGAACTATAAACGAAAATAAACACTCGCGCGATTGTGCGGGTCAAAATCTAATCTTATATATTAAAACATAAATCATGACTTTGTTATTGTGTGATTTTTTTTATTTAGATCATCTCTTAATTTTTTAAAATTATTTTAATAATGAATATTTTTTCGTACAATTATATTACAGTATTCAGTTATCAATCCATTAAAAAACAATAAGTATCGCATAAAAATAGGGACTTATGGAACCATCTAAATCCAACCAATTATTTAGTTACCAACCCATATAAATTTTTTTATTTATCCTCATTCCTCACATAAAAATATAAAAATAAAAATTACATCACATAAATATAATATGAGAATAATTCGTGAACGTAACCCATAAGTTCAAAAGTTATGTATCAGAGAAATTATTTTATTCATGCACGCACAATATATTCTATAAAGTAGTCATACAAATTGTGTATATGCTATTTTCCATGTTCGAAAATACATAATGAGTAATTGTAGGGTGTACCAAAAATTATAAGAAGATTATAAAAAAAATTCTACTCTCTTTCTAAACAAGTTTTAGTTTGTGTTTGTAGAAAATTTAGATAGATGCAACCTTGATCTAATGAGTGACTCTACTGCTTCTAAGTTCTAACCATTTGAATATACTACCGGATTATGAGGATTATATCAGTAGTTAAAATTGGTTAAATACATAAAACAATTTACTAATATGTATGTATATATATCTATTATATTAAAATAAAAGCCCCAAATTTCATTTCATGTGTAATTTTCTTAGTTGACCCTTTTTAGAGACATTTATAAATGTATTTTCTTAACACTAATAATATAAAAAATTAACTACGTTAATCATGATATCTTTTCATTTTAAATATATATATATATATATATATATATAAATAAAAGCTAACAGATTTTGTTAAAAATATTTTAACAAGATCTCAATTTAAAAAAATCTTATATAAACATTTTCAATGATTCGTAATTAATAATATAATATTATTATACATTAAAATATAGTTAGTTATTGTTTATAAAATGAAAAAAAAAATTCTATTTATATTTTGTTTATTTTATAATCATAATCTATCCTAATAAAATAACTATTATACTGAATTAAATTGGATAGAATTATCTAAAGTTGATGTATTAATATATTTTAAGCTAATATAAATATTTATCTTAAAATAATATAATATGTTGGTAAAAAAAGTTAACAAACTAAACAATATAATACATTGATATAAATTAGCATCTCTTTCTTTTTTTTAACATCAAAAGAAAATTAACATCTCTTAAAATTTTATATATATAACAATATATTAGCTAAAATTAATAAACATTAAAATTGTTAAAAGGTAATCTAAAGCTTTGAACTGTGGGTAGGAATTTAGCATACATTAAATAGAACTGTATTGTTAAATATGTCATTTCATGCATATATTGATTCGTTTAATTACTAAACAAATGTAAATCTAATAAGATAAATATATAAAAAAGAAACGACAAATACATGTGACAGTTATATAAACATTTAAACATATGATTAATGTTAGAATATATATATGTAAAACATATATTTATAAATATATAAATGAAATCAAACACCGCACGGTTGTGCGGATCAAAATCTAATTATAATTATTTTAACTGATTCTAATATAAAATGATTTTGTACTTCTTGTGTGAAAAAAATAAATAGCTAGAGTAAATAGTATATATTAGTGTATGTGTTAGTGTATGTGATTGATGATGACTCGGACATCGAATGTTGAGGCATCACGAGTACTTTTTTTTTTTGCTTTCTATCGAATATACTTCTAACGTGGTCTCTAATCAAAAGACAATAAACTAGTAGACCCTGTTATTGATACAAAAATCCATAACAAAACATATTGTAAAAATATGGACATTCACTTTTTTTTTGTCAACATGGACAATTCACTTAACCTGTAATTTTTGAAATACCTTTTTTCTACAAGGCACCACGTAGTTGGCAGTTGAGTACCAACATTACAATCTTGAATGACACGTTTCACCACATGTCAATCCAAGAATTACCGTTACACAAAAACCGACGAGCCTCTAACTTTTTTTTTAACCGACCTACCAGCCTTCTATTTATTTAACCATTGACATATTTACAGTTTATCTAACGAAGACGATATGGCGCCTAGAAAATCAAAGAAAGTGGTTTCTGTGACTAAGAAGAAGAAAGTAGTAGAGGAAACAATCAAAGTAACCGTCACGGACGGAGTTCCAAATGTCACCACCGAGACCGACACACAAGAGACGCAAGAACTAGAGACACAGGATCTAGAAACACAAGATCTAGAGACACAGGATCTAGAAACACAAGATCTAGAGACACAGGATTTGACGTTTTCGATTCCCATAGAAGGAGAAAACGTTACTAGAGTTGAGATTCCGGTGGATGTTGAAGATGATGGGTCCCCTAAGCCGCCTGAAACCCCTGCTCCAGCAAGTGAAGTCCCCGTGAAGGAAGAGACCAACAAGGTTGAGAAGAAGCAGGGGAAGACGAAGAAGAAGATGTTAAAGACGAGGAGGAAGAAGAACAGGTCTGATGTAACGGGAGATGAATACAAGAGATATGTGTACAAGGTGATGAAACAGGTGCATCCGGATTTAGGAATATCGTCCAAGGCTATGACGGTGATTAACATGTTCATGGGAGATATGTTCGAGAGAATAGCGGTGGAAGCGGCCAAGTTGAACGATTATTCAAAGCGGAGGACGTTGTCTTCGAGGGAGATCGAAGCAGCGGTGAGGCTAGTTTTGCCTGGTGAACTTAGCCGACATGCCGTCGCTGAAGGCTCCAAAGCCATTAGTAGCTTTGTTGCGTATGATGCTAAGAAGCGTTAGTTTAGTGTCTTTCTTGTTATTTCTTTTAATTTCTCCAACTTGACGGTTTAGGGTAAGGTTTAACTTAGTAGGGTTTCTAGAGTTGTATGTTCTCTGTGTGTCTAATAATGTTGTTTTGTTCTAGTTTCGTGTCCCCTGTTTTGTAAAATATATGTGTTTGCTTTCACATGAAGTAGTTTAAAAATCAAACTAAACTATTTTTAGGTTTTTTCTTTATGTAAAATCTTGGTTTCTACGTACGTTCTATGCCCCATTTCATTAATCCGGTTAATGATTGGGCTTTAATGCGTGAGATCACAAGAAGCAAAGAATTAGAAAAGATAAGCAAAAGTACAAATCTTCCATCTTATAAGATTTCTTGATTTATTCACAAGCAATGCCACTTAATTTAAGAACTAGATTAAGAGCCGCAACAAGGAATCCTTAGGGGGACTCCTTAGGAAAGGGTATTTCAAATTATATAAGCATATTTCGGATTATTTCTTTAAAATAAAAAAATCGGACCAATCGTGGACCGACACGTGGGCAGTGGAGCCCATAAATAGTGTAAGGATTCATCCGAATCAATCTTTACATAAGGATTTTATTCTTAAAATCCTTAACTGTTCATGAGGCCCATTGGTTATAAAATTAATATTTCCTTAAGGATTCTCCCTAAGGACTTTATTGCGGGTGGTCTAACAATTTCAGGACTAATCCTTGCACAAAGGCAAAGAATCTAACTATCCTTGTTAGTCCACTTATATATAACGTATAACAAACCATAGCTAAACAATCAGATTATTTTTTTCCTAACAATAAACCAGAAGTTATACAGCATTCCATCACCATACTCTCTAACAATGGTTCCTCCAAAACCACCACCTTAATGAACGCAACCGCAACCTCTGCCGGGTAGGCGCGTGAACCCTGTCCTATGCATCATCGTCGCCATTGTCCTCTTAGGACTCCTAGTGGGTCTCGCCATATTGGTCACATACCTCACCCTCAGGCCAAAGCGACTAGTCTACATGGTAGAAGCCGCGTCGGTCCAAGACTTTGCCATAGCCAAGGATGATCACGTACATTAGCGCCAAATTCAACTATGTGATCAAATCATACAATCCCGAGAAACATGTCTCCGTGAGATATCACTCCATGCACATCTCCACGGCTCACCATAACCAGTCCGTAGCTCACAAGGAGATCTCTGCCTTCAAGCAGCGTCCTAAGAACGAGACGAGGATTGAGACGCAACTCGTGTCACACAACGTGGCACTGTCTAAGTTTAATGCCAAGGACTTGAGGGTTGAGACGACGAAAGGGGTGATTGAAATGGAAGTGTATGTAACGGCTAGAGTGAGCTACAAGACGTGGATTTTTCGGTCTAGGAGACGTACGTTGAAGGCTGTGTGTACGCCTGTAATGATCAACGTTACGGGGAACTCGTTGGACGGATTCCAAAGAGTTTTATGCAAAACTCGTCTTTAGTTTAGTTACTTAACTTGAATTGGCTCCATCTGTGTGCATTATACGTTTTTCAAATTTGCTATTCGCCCTTTTGATCGATAATGTGTATGTGTGTGTTTCTTTTCTTGTTTTTTTCTTTGTTTTTTATTCTTGTATGCATACATTACACCGTCTTTATATTTTCATTACTATTCTTTTGAAATATTTTCCATTGTAATCAATTTTGTTGAAATATGAAATTTTATTTTTATCGAAAACGCTGATTAACAATACATTTTAATATGTTAAAAATTAAGATCTTTCTATGTAAGACGACATATTTTTACGTACTGATAAATAAAAAATAATAAATTAGACTAAAATGAGGATAAAAGTTAATCCGACATCTTCTTTATTAAAAGAGAAGTACCATTTATATTTACTACAAAAAAAGTCATGTTGGATCATCTTATTAATATGAAATATTTAATTATTTATATTAATCAATCAAATATATATAATTGGAGGAATATTTTAATAATTAATAAGATATTAGTCATAAGTTTGTTGAGAAAATATCTAACAAGATTTTACTAATGAGTTTAAATATTTTCCGTGATCAATATATATAAATATCTATATTAATATTAATTAGAAATAAAAATTGTTATATTTTATAATTTATTTATATTATATATTATATTAAAATAAAATAATATGTGAAATGAATATAAAATATATTAAATTGGTAAAGGAAAATATTTTATTTTAAATTTTTCTTTATTTCAAATAAATAAATAAATATCACTCATTTTTAAAAGATATTAAATTTTTTAAATCATATAATATTTTTATACAAAAAAATTTAACATATATTTTTGTAACTCACAACAAATACATTATATAAAAAAAATATATGAATATTTTTTTTTTAAAAAACTTACAACAATATATTATAAAAAATAATTAAAATTATAAGATTATAAAATTATACATATACATTTGAAAAGTTTTGTTATATTTTTATAAAGTGTTTATATTGAAGTTTTAAAATGACAAGTGAAACAGTTAATCAGTTAATGGAATTCTTATTACAACTCAACAACAATCTATATATGTATCTACAGTACAGCTAGTTCTTATACAGCTGAGCAACCGTTCTAGCTAGTTTTGTTATTCTTTATGCGGAAATTAATTTGAATTCAACAAAGATGCAAAAACATTCAACAGCAAATTAAAATACTTTAATCGTATCGTACGTGGTTAATCTGCAACTTTCGACAACATAGATTCTTATATTGACAAGAAACATGAGTTGGAGAATACGTAGAGCTATAAACAGACAATAAAAGGTAAAAAACGGCTAATTATTAGCTGTGTACTTGAAATGCGCATCTGTTGCCTGCTGATTATTCAAGTTTCAGTTACTTTCGAGGTCAAGATTTATAACAAACCCTTCTTGTAGTATTTCTTCTCCTTCACACCAATGCCAATAAATTTTGACCCCAAAGCTTCTCTTTGTTTCAAATCCTTTCTCTAAAATGGATGGACAAGTACACATGGATTTCTGGGAGGTCTCATGGCGAGGCTACAAGACAGACATCAACTCGTCTCAGTTCTGCGAGGCACATCCTTACGTGATAAACTCGCAGGGGGTATGGGAGATAATCAGTTACAAGAAATCAGGGATGAGCTTCTGGGAGTATCCTCTCCCGAATCTCGAGATCATTATATTTTCGACTTATGTTATTTGGCGGCTCTTTGATTTCTCATGCAGCAAGATGGGTCTTCGACTACCTAGATTCACTTACATGATGATCGTGTGTTTTCTTATTTTAATATCCCTCCCTCTTTTTTTTATATATTTCAACAACTTACTATGCATTTTTCTTGTTGTTTTAAGGCAGGGGTGATCTTAGGTCAAACTAGTAATATAAGCAACAAGTTATGGCTTCATAACATATTTTTCCCTGATGATCCGCGACCAAAGGTGGCCGAGACACTAGGGGCCTTCGGGTTCCTTTTATATTGGTTCCTAAAGGGTGTGACAATGGAAGCTGGAACGGGAGTGAGGATTGGGAAAAAAGCTGCTGTGATTGGGTTCACCACAATGTTTGTACCCTTGATGTGTGGCAACTACCTGTTCAAACGGAGACGAAAAAGCGGTATAAGCTTGTATGTAACAGAATACAGGTTGATCATATTCATGCAAAGCATATCCGCGTTCACAAGCATTGATACACTCTTAAAAGACCTTAAGATCAAACATTCTGAGTTTGGGAGGATAGCACTTTCCGGGGCCATGGTGACCGACATGTTGGCCTTTATTGTAACCTTTTTGAATGCCATGTATTACGATGCAAAGGTTGGAGTAGAGCAAACCATATTCAGCTGCTTATTTTTCGCCTTTATGGTATTTGGCGTGAGGCCAGCTATGTATTGGGTGATCAAGCGGACTCCAGAAGGGAGGCCGGTCAAGGATATCTACATCTACTCAATTTTGGCGTTTGCTGTTATATCTTTCAAATATTTTCAACTAATTAAGTCATATGGACCCGCAGGATCCTTTGTTTTTGGCTTGGCTGTTCCACACGGATATCCTTTAGGTACTGCTTTTGTTCAGAAGTTCGAGAGCTTTAATCTTGGTGCTATATTTCCACTGTTTGGATCATTAACTATGATGCAAGTGGATGTCCCATGGTTGTTGGAAGAATGTGTACAGCTCATACACATGAAGGGTCAGCTTTATGAGGTTGTTTCCTTTATGCTTTTTGTGAGCGCCACAAAGTTCATTGCTTCCACCATAGCCGCGTATTCATTTAAAATGCCCTTAAGAGACTCCTTTGCTCTAGCCCTTGTTTTAAATAACAAAGGGGTCTTCGAGCTCGCCTACTTCGCCTATGCAGTTGAAACAGGGGTACAATCTCTCTCTCTATATAATAAGAATATATGTTTATACCTCTTTTAGTTAAACAAATCAATGAACATGTTAAACAGAAAGTAACGACACATGTTTTCACAATCATTGCTGCAATCATCCTCTTAAACTCCATCTTCTTACCAATGGCTTTGGAGCTAGTCCATGACCCTACCAAAAGATTCAAAAGCTATCGAAAAAGGAATTTGGGGATCTTGAAAGACGGTGCAGAACTCCAGACTCTTGTGTGCATCTACAAACCTGATCACATAACTTCAATGATCAGCCTTTTGGATGCTTTTAACCCATCAAAAGATTCTCCAATGGCGTGCAGCGTACTCCACCTCATTGATATTGTCGGTCAAGCCACTCCTATGTTCATTTCCCACCAGCTGCAAAAACCGGAGCTCGGAAGTATCTCTTGTTCCGACAATGTCATAAGCTCCTTCCGTCGCTTCCACACCAAAGTATTTGAATATACATCAATAGATATATTCACATCTGTCTCCATGTCCAAACACATGCATGAGGACATTTGTTGGTTAGCCCTTTCCAGAAGCATGACTCTGATCCTGCTTCCTTTCCACCGAACCTGGTCTACTGATCGATCCACGGTTATCTCAAACGATGATAAGCTGAGAATGATCAACATTAATGTCCTGAGACGTGCCCCTTGCTCTGTTGGAATCTTCATCTATCGCAAACCCATCGTGGAATATCATACGACTGCCTACTGCAAGGTACTAATAATTACCCAAATAACACAGTTTCAAATTATTAATTTAACTTTAGAGTCTATTTAAAAAAAAAAAAAAGCAAGAAGATTCTTTTTTTTTTTTTACGTTAAACAAAAGGCTAAATAATATAGTGTAATCTTACCAAGCTCTCAACTATATATGCAGATATGTCTGATATTTAACGGTGGAAAGGATGATAGAGAGGCATTGGCAATAACAAAACGAATGAAACTGACGGAGACACGCATAAGGCTGACAATCATAAGATTCAATCCAACATCTTCTGAAATGAATCACCAGGAGGCTGACGAAACCTTCCAAACGGTTGGCCTGAAGGAGACTGTGACTAACATTTTCAAAGAAAATGATGAATCTGTGACATATATTGACAAATATATATCAGATGGATCTGAGACCTCCAAGATCTTGAGAGCAATGGCAAATGATTATGATTTGTTCATAGTCGGAAGAGGCTGCGGAATAGGTACGGAGGCTACCAGCGGACTCAGTGAGTGGACAGAGTTCGATGAACTGGGACCCATTGGAGATTTACTAGCATCACATGAGTTTCCATCTAGATCATCAGTGTTAGTTGTAAAAAAACAAGACTACATTCATAAAACCAGAAGCCACAAAAGGAGATCAAAGTAATAATGCGTGTGAGATATATATGTATTATGAAGACGATGTTGAACAACAAGAAAAGTTCACCAAACTCTTGTGTGTACATTTTTATCATATATAATATATATATACATGGCTTTGGCAAAAGGAAACAAAGCCAATGAGTAAGCTAAACGACTTTTTTTTGTAACATAGTAAGCTAAAGAACACTTACCAAAGATATATAATAAATCAACTACTATAACTGATGAAACCGATGGTTAGGTTAAAAGACATTTAACCAAATATTATGCAATATATAGAATACTCTAATACATTTCCTAAAACCGATGCCGCCAAAGATGATTAAAGTAAGAAAAGTTTGAATTAAGACATTCGTTGGAAATAGGAGGGGAAGAGACCATGATGAAGAACTTTGATCATGATGTCGGTATTAGAAGTATAAACATGAAAAAAGTTCCAGAAAACTATTCTTGACTTGATCATGGACTGTATGTCAATCTATTTAGATGTAACTTAAAGGAGAACTAGATGTTTTGCCCGCACATGCGGGCATAGCTCTTTTATAGATATCGATTAACAAATTTACTATTAGATTAAAGTAAAAAAGAACATTGAATTTTATATAATTTTATGAGTCTTTTAATTTTTAAGTTTTAACTTTTATTGATTGAAACTTTAATATATATTTTTATTTTAAAATGCAATGTTATTTTCAACCACTTCTTATTATATTGTTTTATATATATATATATATATATATATATATATATATATATATATATATTTATCTAATTATATAAACACATATAAGGTGATGTTATTAAACCAAATTCTTATAATTAGCAAAACCTACAAAATCTAAAAGTAAATCAAAAACAGAAGAATGTTAGACGAACTCAACTTTACATATTATATTAATCACAATAAATAAAACTATTGATATATGTATGATCCTCCCATAATAACTGACTAAACACTCAAACATACACTACACTAGGTGATTTTCCCGTGCTCATGCACGGGTATGAATATTAATAACTGTAAATTTTTATAATAATTAATTGCTATTTAGTTTTATTTTTAATTTTGAATAACTTTATATGTATAATTTATATTAATAAATATTATATTGTTCTAATTATACATATGACTTTAGATATATCATTGTCGGTTTAATTATTTTGTGGATCAATAGTCAGTTTGGTTATCAATTTGGTATATGGGATAATATATATTTTTCGAATTCAGTTATACTATTTTTTTATTCTAAATGTAATAAAAACTTTGATTAATTTTCTTATTTTCATTTCGGTTGGTTATTGTCTTAGATATGTAAATATGCTATAGTTAAATTATGTATAACTTAATTATTGTGCTTAAAATGAAATAAATAATAAACTGAAGTGTTTGATTCAAAATTACATAAAGGAATATAATGATAATATTTTGAAGTCTCATGCATATATATAAATTCTACAAAATAATTAAATTGTAATTGGTTAATATTTTCTTTTTCTTTTTAATATGCTTTGAGTCAACCTCTAATTTATATGTATGAAATTAAATAGATAATTTTTATTATTACTATTATTATAAAATTATATGTTCTTATTGTAGTTAGATGTTTAATTTTGGATATAAATTAGATTAGTCGAGTCATTCATTTTGTGAGCATATTGAGTTAAATATACTTTTAAATTAAAATTGAAGTATAATTACTTTTTATTTGAGTTAAGTCAAATCAAATTATTTTTATTTATCGCTTAAATATACATGTATTTTCATAATATTTATTTACTCTTTGTTTTAGTTAATTTCAATCAAATTATTTTTACTTATCTCTTAAATATACATGTATTTTCATAATATTTATCAAATTATATGTTGATTTCTAAAAAATATTAGAAATTAGTGTAACTGATAAATTTTTGAATGTTCATGAACATATATGTTTTTATTATTTTGAAAATATATTTTATGTTATTTAAAAATATATATTAATGGGGGTATTACTATTTTCTCAACTTTCCTTTTTAATAAAGTCATATTATATACATATATTTACGTTTTAAAATTTTAGAAATATTTCTTTTTATTATATATGTTATTTGGAAAAAGGTAAAAAAGAAACTAAATAAAAAAATTAATAATAAATCTTAAAATATAATAATTCATTAAGGGTATCTATGTAATCAACAATCGCGAGAGTTAACGTGAGTGCGACACGTAGGAAACTTACTTCTCAAATAATATTATAGAGATTGACAAACAAGACATTAATGTATAATGTATATGGCAAAAACGTTTCTTCTATATTGTTATTTTCATTTCTAAATGCTATAATATAGAAAAACAAGCTATCCAATCTATATTTTTACTTTAAAATGGAAGTAGTTATTTCCTATATAATATTATTATAAAATCATAATTTGTTATTTTCAAATGGTTTTTAAAATTTCAAACTTTAATAACTATAATAAAAACAAATCAATTTAAAAATACAGTTTTTATAAATAAATAAATATAAACTAGAGCAAACTTTCTTTACATAGTAGTCTTTACAAAATTTTAATTTAAACAAATTTATAATTCTGTGAGACATGTGAAAAATAAAAGTAAACAGAGTTAACATAATTATATTTTATAAATATAAGACACTTGCTGTAAATAAAATATTAATATTTTGAAAGTATTCTCTTATGGAAGAAGATAATTTGAAAATACTTTAAAAGGATAATTTAATTTCCAAGAAAAAAAATATTTTTTTAAAAAACAAAAAACATTTTTTTGAAGCTTTCAACTTAAATATCAAATAAATGTTATTCTTGCAATTGAAAAAGAAGAATAGAAGTGGAAATACCACAAAAATCACGTTAACCAAAAAAATATAAATCAAAATTATTTGTATTGCATATATTACTCTTTTTAGTATTTTTATAGTTAAATAAATTTAATAATTAATTTTAAAATATGCCGTAACATATTAAGTTTACAAACAATTATAAATCATTTTTTGTTATTTTCTATTACAACATTTTAATATTTTAGTGTAAAGATAAATCTAATTATAATATGTTATATATACTAATAACTGTAAAAATTAACAAACAAGAAAAAAAGATGTAGCTAAACACAATAAATAGGAGAACTATCCTTTTTTTTTTTTCCAAACAAGTTTTTCATTTTTGAGATAATTTTTCTAATATTAATTTGTAAAAATTTAAATAATGAATTATATAATGATTTATTATCTATATCAAAACTTTAATCAAAACTAATTAAAATTATTATTAAAACTAATGATTCAACCAAAGACCATGGAGAAGGTGACTCTAATACCTAGGCTTGATTTATATTTAATTCTAATTTGTATATGTTAAATTAAAAATTAATAATATAAAATTTTTAGAGATAAATTTAATTATCTTATTTTAGAGGAATATTATATTATTAATATAATTTTTTTTAATTATATATAAAATTATTAAAAACATGACAAATAAATAAAATTAGAGAAATTATGATAAATGATCGAAATTATCTAAAATCTTTGAGAAGTTGACAAATTAGTAAATTTGCCTTTCAAATAATTTTGATTGATGATTTATATTTAATTAATAATAGATAATTTTTATATCTTAATTTTGAGTGTTATAATAGGAAAATATATTTTTAAGATAAAAATATAATACATAAGAGTTATCTTATTTTTTAAGAATATAATATTATTAATATAAATTTGTTTTAGTTATATAATAGATATAATAATTTTTATATCTGAGTTTAAAATTTAAGTTTTATAGTAGATAATATATTTTCAAGATAACAACATAATAATCAATAATTATCTTATTTTCTAAAATATGATATTATTAATATAAATTCGTTTTAATTATAAATAAATTATTTATAAAACTATATATAAATATTAAAAATATGATAAATAAAAAAATACCTAAAATCATGGAGAAGTTAACGAATCATCAAATTTACTTTTAAATAATAGTATAAATTAACCAAAGATTATAAAATAAACTTACTACCCTAATTGATAAAGCCAATGGTTAAGCTTAAGAGAACTAACTTGAAATTATACCGTAAGTCATGTACTTTTTAATAACATGTTCAGTGCCCAGCTCTTTGATTTCGTGTATTGTCATATATAAAAGATTGTTTATGATGTATGAAATGTGTGAAATTATGGATGGAGTTCAATAGATTTTTTTTTTGTTTTTGTCAGATATGATATATCCAACATTTTGATCCTTCGCTCCTTGGTTTATCAAAACTAGGCTACTTTTATCTCTTGTTTAGGAAAGGTGTCCGCCGGTTCAATTCAAACCAAGAGCCGCCAACTATATATACATTATATGTATCTTCATACTTACCTTTTTTGCCGAAAAAATGGTCTACATATGATGATATGAACCGCGTCTAGAACTTAAGTAACGCATGAGCTGTCTGCAGGGAGCCTGTGCAACCTCTCCAAATACAGCTGCCCTTGATATCGCAATTCAGAAATAGATTAACTTACAGTAAGATGCATGGTTAACAGTAACTAGGACGCATAGCGAAAATAATTTTGAGGTCAAGATGGATAAACATCTCATTTTGTTATCTTACTGATTCAAACAGGCTAAGATTGTTTATTTAGGGTGTCCTAATCAATGAGCTGATAGTACTTTAAAGCAATACAGCTTGCAAGCGCCAAAATAAACAACATAAATCACTATATTTAGCCCTAATCTCTGCTTATTTTAGTGATATTTATAGATTTGTAAGAAACCAGTTGACCGGTCTTCTTTAATTGTTCTCTCCTCCCTGAGAAAACAAAACATATTCATTGATAAGATTTGCTCCAAAATGGATGCGCGAGAGGCAACTTGGCATAAAGAGATGTGGAACGGCCAGGTGAAAAGAACAGAGATGGGAACAAATATGTATTGCGATGCGAGTCCACATATAATGTTGAACTCACACGGTGTCTGGGATAAGTTGGCTTCTGGGTATACAGCAATGTCATT